CTCTCTCTCTCTCTCTCTCTCTCTCTCTCTCTCTCTCTCTCTCTCTCTCTGTCTCTCTCTCTCTCTCTCTCTCGCTTCCCCGGTTCACTCTTTGCCTCTCAATCACTCCCCTTCATCCCCCGCTAGCTGTTTGAATCCCTCCCTGGTCTTCCTCACCCTTTTCTCTCCTCACATGCACGCGTACATGCACGCCGGCATGACAAAGTCAACCCCTCATCCAACCGACTGCCGTCTCTGTCCGTAGGACCGGCGCTCCTCTCCCAGAGTTCCTTGCAGCTCAACTCCACCCCGGAGGCTTCGCTCCAGTACTCTGCCAGCTACCATAGCAACCAGACCCTCGCCCTTAGCGACAGCATCTCCGCAGCATCTCCTCAGCGCAGCGGGCAGGTTGGGGGAGCCGTGCACAGCTATAACCAGGTAGGATACGCCGAAGACGCTGACGGCGAAAACAACAACACTTGCTTGCTTTTAACAGATGGGTCACTTTGTTTCAGTCGTTACAACACTTGATGGATTTGTTTGAAGGCCTCGCCCATACTTTTCACAGCAAGTTTGTCTCGTGGCTCCGGTTGTGCGTCATCGCGCATAGCAAACTCGCTCGGCTTTTATTTCCATATCAAACAGCGGCACGCGCTTATCCCGTAATGCGGTGATGGAGGGGTTCAGCCCGCGCCTTGCAAAGTTTTCAAACATGGTTAAAGCTGTTATTAAGGAGACAGGTAATAAGATGCTCACCCACACACAATTAAGAGCAATCAAAAGCACTCCAGCGAGCCTTGAGTTTATGAGGACCTGAGAAATAAAGCCGCGGTAGAATCCACCTCATAATCACAGCAGTGCGTTAATGAAGAGTAATGCGGTACGTCAGGATTTCCGAGGTGATGCATTATTGCCATAAACGTGCTCATTTGCCCACGAGGGGCCTCACAAACAGACGCTCGCAAGCCTGCCCTCATTAATCGGCGCCGTGTTTTTGAAGATATCGGGGCCTTTGTTTTTCACGACGCTATCTCCGTGATCATTAAGTTTCGGGGGTTTTACTGTCTGAAGACGATTTCATATTATTAATTGTCATATTTGTGCCAAGGCAATCCTCCGCCTTTCTTTCTTCACCTCCTCCTCCTCATCCTCTTGGCTCACCACTGCTGTGTGTGTGTGTGTGTGTGTGTGTGTGTGTGTGTGTGTGTGTGTGTGTGTGTGTGTGTGTGTGTGTGTGTGTGTGTGTGTGTGTGTGTGTGTCTGGCTTTCGATGTCATCGCCTCTCATGTTTTAGCCTTGTCAGTGTAATTGGGCCAGAGCTGTCAGGGAGGGTCATGAATTGACTTTTTCACAAGCTACTGCTGCAGCTCGACGTGCAGGTGCGGCCCGCAGGCATGCAAGCTGCATGTGATTGGCGTGTGCTCGCAGTCGGTGTTTCCCTCGGCAGAGCCGAACCCAGCTATGGTGTCCTTTTTTTTTTTTTTTTTTTTTTTTAAATGTGTGTACACAAGCACATTTCAAGTTTGAAGAAGGTGCCGTTTAAGGACGATTTGGAGGGAAATAGAATGGAGCGGCATGTCGGTGCTCTTCTGCAGGGTATTTATAACCCTGAGAGGCTTTGCTTTAATAATACATGGCTATGTGGCACCTCGACTACTCCAGTGTTTTAGTGGCAGAAGTAGCACTGCAAAGGTGGCAACCGATGCTCTGCTTCACTCATCGTTTATTTGCCTTCTTCTTCGTGACTCATCAATCTGTCCTAATGCTGCCGTTAACTTGGGCAACTTCCCTAAATCACGATCAGGCATCTTGAGTCCAGCATCTCATTTTGGTTCGCCAAGTGCCTTTGTAGCATGCTCAACTAACACATGGTCCCATGATGCTTATTCCTTGGGTGCATGCTGATGAAGACGTTTCTGACTTGAAATAGGCCCTTTTAATTAGTTACCCCTCCATACATTTTTAATTAGAGGTGTATGTTAAGGGGTGTATTCGGGGGATAAAACAATATTCAAAGGAAAGTGAAATGCCGTGCATGCTTCACATAATGTGGACTTATATCCCAATTCTGCTCGAATAAACAATATTGATAATACAATTTGGAATAGGGGAAAAAAAAATCATGAGGTTGTTTTGATGAGAATTTGTAATTTATTCATGAAGGTTACATGGAAAATGAGGTGATTTCAGCAAATTATAATGAGCAGCTGAGGAAGCTGTTAAAAGGAAATGATAATTAGGTGGAGTCCAACTCACTGAAGCTGAGACACCGAGAGGCGTTCATTTGTCAATTGAAACTTATTTGAGTTGCCGTCATTGAAGTCACAGGCCGATCAAGATTCGAAGATGACGTAAGTAGAATGGTTTGGTAAAATGGTTTGAACATAATTCCAACAATTCTGAACTATAAGAAAAAAAAAACCGCATTAGAAAAATATAATTTACGATAAAAATGTTCGAATTCAACATGTATGAAGTTCTGGACTGATCTTTTTTTTTGTATTTATTGATTTATTTATTTGAGTTTTACAAGCTAAAGTGAAATAATGCCAGTCCCCCAAGGTGACTTGGGAACGCGTGCTTGCAACATGGTCTATTATAGCCGCTCGGGTGGGTAATAATGTCTCTGGATCACCTTTACGCCACTAAGTATCAACATAAGGCGATGAGGCTCAGCTGAGGATCACTGGCATATGTCCTCTCCCTCCCACCGCCTTGCGTCAAGTCTAAAGCAGCAAGTTTTGTCATTCCAAAGATAATAAACAGTTTAACTTTAATGGGTCTTTACTATCGGGACCTGGTCGTTTTATTTGAAGACTCTTATGATCCATATCTGACCATAAAGAATGGGGACATGCCCGTGGGATACATTGCAACCATGCATTTGTAGTTTTTAAATGAGCTGGGCCCAAAGGAAAACATTTGTTCTCTCGTTGCAAAGCGTTACTGTGTACTACGAAACCCGACTGCGTTTTTGTGGGGAAACGGCTCACAATAGACCTCATGGATAGCATTTTTCGATTTGCTTTCACATGAGTGGATGTTGGTTAGATTAAAGTGTTTGATTACAATATAAAACAAACAAACAAACAGGAATGTGTATTATTTAACATCAGGGGAGTTGACTCACATCTTTATTTAACTTTGAAGGCTGAAATCGCGAGTGACAGGGTTTATGTGACGATACATGATATTAAATATGTTAATTCACAAAGCCTTTGTAGTTTTCTCCTCTACTTTGAGTAGGTGGTACAACAAGGCTTAATGAGAGATTATTTCGGTCAGCGCAGTTTCTCTGAGTTCATCGTCTGATTCCAAGAGTCTGTTTGAATGCCCCCCTAGCCCCCCACCATGTTCTGCAGGGATTTCATTACGTTCTCTTGGAGGTTCATGCAGGCCTCCTTGCTCAAAGATGTGACTGAAGTCATTGTGCATACGTTTTTTTTTTAATGCGTCCTACTCTTTATCTCTCTCATTCCCCTTTCATTCATCTGCCTTTCCCCCATACCGCTCCGTTGCCTCCCCAACTCTCACTCTGTAATTATTCATCCTTCTTCCTCTGTGTTTCTTACCCCCCTCCCCTCCCCTAGGTGACTTCGAGCCGTGCAGCCCAGCAGCAACAATCGCAGAGTGGGGCAGGGTCGGGTAAGTGTTCAGCTCTCCCTGTCCTGTTTTTTTAGCCACTGGTCAGTTAGCCATCGCTTTTTATCATATTAATAAATCAAGCTGACATTGCGCGACAGTTTGCTGTGCGGCTGAAATTTGATGTCCCTGACAGTTATGCACGCCACCTTGGATCGAAAAAAAAAAAAAAAGGTTAAAATTTCTGCAACCTGTAAGATTGTGGGATTGATTTTGCGATACTCGGCAGCAGGGGTTGACACGATACACCGGAGGTGTCCAAACCTTTCTTTGTCTTCAGACTTGGTGAAGCAGCACGTGGCTCAGGTTACACATTTATTTGAACCATGCAAACTTGATGCTCTAAACTTGGAATCTCTGTGATTTGTGTTCCTTTTGTCCCGTAGGCATCTACTACTCGAGCTCCACTTTACCTGCCCAGCGAGTCAATTCCCCTCTGTGTGGTGGGGGAGGGGGTTCAGGCCCAGGGTCCCCCAATAAACTCCAACGCCTGGGATCGGCGTCTGATTCTCTGGGGTACTCCACCACTCAACGCCTGCCTTCCTCCTCCTCGTCTTCTCCCAGCAAACAGTGTCCTGCTAATCGCCTGGCTAAGTCATTCAGGTACACGGGCGACTGCGATGCTCATCCCGATGTTGATGAATTGCTTTTGATACTGAGGATGAGAAGGAAGGCGGGCGGACAGAAATCGGCATTGCAAAACATCATTCTTCCAGATGACGAGAGGAGGGACGATAAGAAATAATTCAATGTGAAAGTCGTATAGGTTGCAGTACAAAATACAATGTCTCCCTTTAGTGTGCTTTAGTTTGTATCGAGTTTCCATTAGACAATAACTAAAAAGGTCGGCACACAAATATCCTTCTTATTTATTAGCTTTCCCCCCCCCCCTTCCTTTAAAAATTCATCAACCACATTGCAATTGATTTTGCAGGTGAATGATGTTTGTTTGTCCTCTAGCACCAACGTTGCCGTGACAACAGTGGGTGGTGGAGGTTCTCCTTTGAGGTTGGCCTCTCCACCCAACTCCAGTGCCACCGGGGGAGGGGCCGGCTCATCATCCCCCCTTCATCAGGTAAGACCCTCCTCGGACACACCGTGGCTGTCACTCTCATATCATGTCAAAGATTGAAAAATATTGCTCAGCTACAAATTGAGCATTATTATTTTGGGAAGAGCAGTTTTGGTTCGTCTGAATTTGGAAAAGTCTGTTTCCACATGTGCCAATAGGAAACGTTTGTGTGGCACTGACCGAGTTCTGTCATGTTAAGTGCTTTGAAGTGATTTGCACAAAGTGACGCTTTCCATCCATGAAGCCACTTTGGGCAACTTTACCTTGTGTAAATTGAAATAAAGGTGAGCTGGTTTAGCAAATTGAAAAGTGCAGGAACCAACCGAACCAAAACACATCTACATCTTGCTGCCACCAGAGAGTGAATAAAGTAATTGCAGCGCTTGCTGCACTTAATCTTTCTCGCTCACTGAGCTTATTTCCCGCTATTTGACCGAGAACCGCTCCTTGGCTTTGCAGATGAGCTCGGGCATCGGCAGTTATGCCACTTTGTCTCCCAAACGGCTCGCAGCTCACCACGCGTCCGACCAGTACAAGATTTCCCATGAGCTCTACGCAACCGCTACACTCCAGAGGCCCGGCAGTCTAGCGGGTGAGTCAATACGCGCCGGCGTAGTCTCGCCACATATATTGTTGTGGTCGTCATTGCTTCTGCGCATAGGCCGGTGGTACGATGACCATGTTTGAACTTCAGTTTGGTCCGCATTCAGAAACAACGGATCTCGATGGCGAACTTGATTTGCAGTCACTCATTTCTGAGTGCGTGCTGTCCGCATCATAAAACCTTTGGCATGGGCGTTTTGTTCAGAAGCAAGGTCGCGGCGGCTTTTTGCTTCCCACGATTTGTTGTAACGAAGGCCTTTTCACGATTTTGTGTAGGAAATCTGGTCGCTCCGATGACGTTTACGTTGTCCAGGTGTTGGTTGCAAGCAGACTCGGCAAACGCAATTGATTTGGTCACATTTGGAGTCTACATGGAAGCGCTATCAATGGAAACTTTCATTCAACGTGTTTTTTGTGTTGCCGAATAGGAAAAAACAACCTGTGGTAAAATCGATAAGCGTATCAATATTGCTTTGTTTGTGCGTGTGTGGAGGCCGAGTGATATTTAAGCACCTGGGTTATGATGGAGCGTCTTCGTTGCATATCAGTGGCCCACTCAACCATTCATAGAAAGGTCAAGTGCTGCGTTTAAGTCGATTGAATTAAATGATGTGTGAACGACACCGCCGGCGTGTTGTGGTTAGTATCTTGAGATTTACGTCTACGTGCAAAAAGTGTCGGAGTGTACTTGTGGCTGCCCTCTATAAAGTACAACATAAATGTACAGTTGAGTGATTTAGGTGATGGGATAGGTTTCTCAATTATCTATTTTAATGACCTCCCCATTTTTTAAAGAAAGAAAAACACATCGAAAAGCAGACAAAAACTGACAATAGCCCACTGATGCATCGTACCCATCATGACTTGGTAACCGGTAAAACAACGCAGAGGAGGTTGAAGAACAAAACTCCTTCCTGTGTGGCGCTAACGCCGAGAGCCAGCAATGACAGTCGTAATTGACACTTGAATGGTTTGACGTTGATTGATGTTGCCCGAGGCACAGTTGTGATCCCTTCGCATCGTCAAGTATAAAAAGCCTCGCTCTCGTTCAGAATTAACTGCCCATGAAATTTGTTGGAACCGTATACACATTACAGTCATGGGGGGGAAAAGAAATTGTTGGAGCATCCTAGTTTCTTCACTTTCTTGTTCATTTTAAATACCCGCTACAGGACAAATCTACTCTAATGATGATAACACAAAAAGCTCATCAATTTAAGAGCTGATAGCTTAATAACCAAAATCGCTCAGTCGCTATGGCATTCTACCGAAAAAATAAAAACTGCTTTTCAGGTATTCCGTGTTTTCTTTTGTGTCTGTTAATTATGTGGTACACCCTTTGCCGAGTGGCGCAAGGCATCAAAAGAACCAAGAAAATGACGAAAACAAGGTGATCTAATCTTAGTTTTTTTTTTTTTTCCTCCAGGACTATGTCACAGCTTTCAAGATTGTGTGTTGAGTCACTCACCCAAGGAATTACAAGTATTCGTTCGGCAAATATCTTTATTGTAATATTTGCTTTGAATCCTTTTCACACAACAAACACCACTTCGGCGCCAATGGGCAGTCATCCATTTTGTGACCCTGAAATATTTGACTGAATTAAACATTACGGGAGGGCTATTTTCTGCACCGTTGGTTTTTTTCTTTCTTCTTAACTGGAAGTTCCCTCTCTCCTTAGCAAAAAATAGCTCAGTGCTCCTGCAAGTAAGGCCCTTTGAGTCTTTAACAAAAAGAATAAAGAAGTCTAAACCGGGTCTTGGATCGGACGAAGGGCGCCAACTTGGATGAGTCATGCTGTTAAACGGGTGTGTCTTGACTCTTTCTTAGCTCACGAACTTTCAAAGCGGGACAGTTATCGGGGTGTTTTTACGGCTTTACCGCTGCTTTCTACAACTAAGTGGACGTCACAAATCGAAGCTTTCTCTGTTCATCATTTCCTCATCTTGGGCGATGTTCTTCCTTAATTGTCAAAACTTGATCTCGCTCGGAGTCGATCCAATGTGATTGCCGATTCTGCTTCCTCTGCAGACCCAGACGCGCCGTCTGTGGCATTTGCTGTTTGTTGTGCCGTCATGGCAACGGTGCCCCCACCTGAGATGAACATGGATATTGCCACGTCCGCAGCGCTTGTATCTTTATTTAAAACAAGAAGAAAATATTTGAATCATGGCTTTATTTGCAGAAAGGGACTCTTCAGCGATGTTGAAGGGATGCATCGTGATCACTGACTTAGTTGTCACACAAAACTCATCCAACGTTGCTTTTAGCCGAGCGAGAAAAGGAGCGTTCCCAGTTATGTTAAGACAAAGTTCAAAGCATCAAATTGTCCAAAATGTTTGGCTAAGATGAAGAGGTGTAAATCATGGAGTTGGGCTCGTTCCTCCCACTCAGAGGCAAGAATCTCCTCAGCACGCGACTCGCCATCGACTGAGAGCTAACGTGACACGATAGCTCCAGTGGACCATCATTCCCTCCCGCTTTCTCTCGTTCACTCTCACCCATGGCTTTCCACTGTGTGTGTCGATATGATATGAATGTGTGTGCGTGTGTTTCTGCTTCCTTAATTTAATGTGCTCTCGTTGTGGAAGGGAAGCCCCAGCCCTTGCAGTTGTTGGCCACTGTAATGAACAAATGCCTGCTGTCAATGTCTCCATCGCCCTGTGAATTTGGACTGCCTGCCAAACGCACGGCATCTCATTATTTTATTGCTGACAAACAGCAATGTGTTCAGTGGAGATAAAAAAAATAAATAAATAAAAAAATGCAGTGACATCTTCCTCGCCTTTTCTTTTTTGTTGCCTTCTGCTCATTATCCATCATTTCCACCAGTGCTCATGTCACGACGGTGTACTTAGAGGGCCTCCTTTTTAATGCCTGCTGTTGATTACACCCTTCTCAATATGTAAATGGAAGACCTTTGTCAGGTCTTCCACCTAAATGGGAAAAATTGGGCAGGTCTTGGAGCAAAAGGCTTTGTATATACCTCATTACATCACCCAGCTTCGCACGCTCGTCACGGTGAGTGCCCGTTCCAATGTGAGCGTCGTCACCTCTTTTCTTACTTCCCTACCTATTCATCCTCTTCATCACAATATGTTGGACTCCACACTCTTCAGCCCTCAAGGTCAGGATGACCCCCTGTCGTGGACCTTCTCAAATCCGTCTTCCTCCTCTGCCTCAAAATCAACCCCGCATATTGACGGGCATTTTTCAGCTTTGCAACGTTTTCTTTCCTTTCTGTCCACTCCAGGCTCCCGCGGCTCCTACAGTAGTCAGCACAGCCAGGAGCCCCTGCGACCCTTGGGGTCCCCAGAGCGCCATATCGAGCCCATATATGAAGAACGTATCTACCACAACAAGGGTCCCATGAGGAGCCTCAGCCAGAGCCAAGGGCCCGACACAGGCCCCTATCGCAACAACACCGGTAGGCCATTTTTACATTGTCCTGCTAAACTCTTCCCTCCCCAGCTTTCGTGTTTAGATCCAGTTTGTTCAGGTTCTGAACCCATTCGTCCGATTTTAAGTGATGATAATATTTGTAGCCCGGCCCCAGTTCAAAAGTGTGCACTGTCAGGGGCTTTCGAATGTAGACGTTACCCCATATTTATCATTCCGCATTATTTTATCGGCCGACCTTGCTCTCCCAATTGATTCTTTCCACAAATGATATACGGGATTTAATAAAATCATCTGTCAGAACTCATCGCCGTGAACGAGACAACAATGTCCAAACACAATAAGGCACATTATTGACAATGTCCGGGGGCTATTTATAGACCTGTTTTTAAATTGTAGTGGTAGTTTTCAGTGGTACGGACCTACAGTGCATCGCGAGAGTGCCGTGAAGCTCACGTCGTCATTTCCTCAGCTGTGCTGTGTCACTCCATTGTTGCCAATGTATTTTTAATAGGGCCTCACTGCGCTTATCTCAGTGCGGGTTTAGGTACGCCGTGTTAATCCCATTAACATTATCATACCCACATGAAAACACCCAAGTGGTTTCGCCATGTTCACTGTTCCCCTGATGTCATTAGGCAGCCGAGTCGGAATCGCTATCATGAGCATTTGGGTCAGAACCGTGGCAATAAATGTGGCACTCCAGACCCGCGTTGAACTTGATCAGTTTCACTTGCTCGAAGGGGATATGAGAATTGCCTCTGAGCACGCGGTCGCCGGCTTTCTGGGTACACTTTAGCATGAACGGATTATTGGCTGTGCTCTTCTTCTCATGCCAGCGTGTCGTACGTGCGCCGCGATAGGATCATCTTCCTGAGTAGCGTTTTCATGAAATTAATGCACTTAAGAAGTGTTTTGAGCCATTTCGCTGTAATCTCTCATTTACCGTCCCTTTTATTTGTTAGCTCAAACGATGAGTCGAAGAAAACACACCAAAGGAAATTTGCACAGAAGTTCCCCAAATCAATAGGATGCAAAGTAAAGCTTTTAATGACAACCCTTGAGCTTCACGAGTCGCCGCTCCAACAAAACCCCCAGCATGACAATTGTTTTCCAGACACACTTTAAAGTCAAACACGCTCCGGGACCAACGGGCTGCTGGATCAACAACAAAGCCTCAACATTAGCGAATAAGAGAGTCATATGCATTGAATGTGCAGCGACTATAAGAATCTCCAAATGGCATTCATATTACATAAGCGATTGCACATAATGAACTGATAAAAGAGCCCTGCTAATATGGTGACGACTAAGTCATTAATTATGCCACGTTGGCGTTTCTTGGCAAAGACAGACTCACGTTATTAAGCTGCGATGGTTCAGTGGGATACATTTTACAAATGATCACTCATCGTGGAAAGAAAGCGGGGCTAATTTTCTGCTAGTCCTTCAACAATTGTCAAAGTTGCATCCTTGGGGACACCGCGTGCTGAATGGCATCAATGCGGGCTCTCATTTATGACGTGCTCCTCGATTTTAAGCGGCAAGATGCATCAGGGAGTATGCCTGCACAAACTACTAAGAGAGGTTTTTCAAAAGGCGGCCTTTGCAAATGTGATGATGAAGCAAGGTTGCAACTGAATACGATGACGTTGTTGATTGTAGCGGGGCAACTGCAGTGCAACACGTTACGGCCGCTCCCCATATCTTGGGTTCAATTAGAGCCTCAACCTCTCCGTGGTGTTCAGGCTTCTTTAACCAATGAGCCTAATGAATGATCTATAAACAATATCGTTGTTGTGTTCCAAGTATCTTATCGTGGCGTTGACTGATAGAGATATACGTTCATGATCAAGATGATGGAATGCTGTACTTGTCGCCGTCATGTTGGGTTCTGTATTGAAGCGGCAGAGGCGTTGACTGAACATGCTTCCAACTTTGAGTGGTCCTCTCTCGCTCCTCCTTTCATACCAATTTATTATTGTGTGTGTGTGTGTGTGTGTGTGTGTGTGTGTGTTTGAGGGGG